ACTTGTGCAGCACATTGCTGATCAAACCAACAGATATGCTCAACAAGAAATATCAAAAAGTGCCAATCCTCTCACATTTCGCTCTAGGATTAGGAAGTGGCAAGATGTTACAGTGGACGAAATTTACGTTCTTTTGGCTCTATTTATGTTGATGGGCATTGTGCAAAAGCCTACACGTAGATCTTACTATTCAAAGAACCGGCTGTTGTACACTCCGTTTTTTTCTGAAACTAAACTTCTAATCGACTTGCTTTCACTGCTCACACATCTCATCTTATAAGGTAAGATTATAAAACCATCTTTTAAGAGGATTTCAGTGAAAAATTCATAATTATATCTCATATAGTTCAAAAGTTATGAAGAAAAGAGTATTTAACAGCAAAATTTAAACGGGCATTTAAAAAATACTACCGCAGGAACAGCACGACAGCGGTATATGCGGGGTATTTAAACCACCACGTCGACGGGTTAATTATCATCATCATCATCATCATCATCATCTCTGTATTGCTTGTGCAAAAATGTGAAACAAACATGCTGTTGATATTTACCTCTGTTTGGATCAGTAAGTTGAAACAAATCTGGTTGAAATGGATTGTCACCCATAAAAACGGACCACCCACCTATAGGCACCGTTTTGCAAGGCTCTTGTTTAAAGTCTGACCTTTCACTCCTGAAAAATTATAAAGAGTTAGTAAGGGGTGAAAGATCTTTAGGTTGAAGTTACAAAGGAAAGAAAATCCATTATAAGTTTAATACTTCAATGCTACAATGCACCAGATCAACAGAACCACTTCTTCTTGATATCTATCCCTTTTCCTTGTTAAATGAGCAAATCTTTGTGGCTCACTTAATTATAAAAAATACTGTACCAACTTTTCCCTCTATTTTATAAATGTTTATAACAACATATTCTTTCCATTGCAATCATAAATAACTCCATGAGTTCATGGAGCAGAATTCTGCTGAAGAAGCTGACATCACTCAGCCAGTCACATCAACCCAACTCACACATACTAGGTTTGGTGAAGATTTCAAACTAAGAGGATTTTCATTATGCAAGTTTCTCTACTCCCTTATTACTTCTTCTCTTGGGCCAAAATATTCTCTTCAAAATTTTGTTTTCAGACCCCCTCAATATTACACTGGCAATTCTTACTTCAAACAGAAAGTATAAGTTTATTAATTTTCAAATGCAACTTTCTCCACTTCCACTGAGTTAAATAACATTTTCATTACATGAATACTGCTGAAGAAGCCTGCTGAAATTCACCAAGAAATTATTTATTTGTATTTTCATCCCTTTTACCCTTTCTTCATTTCTTCTATCCCTCCTGTATCATTACTTTCTTTGGGAGTACTTCTAAAAGCTAACTAATTGCACTTGTAGCAGAATTTGTAAAACACGACATTCTGTCACCTGTTGGAAACATACTCTCTCACGCACACATACATACATACTATTATTTAAATTGTAAATTGTGATTTTAATAATCCCACAAATCAAATGCTAAGTTCTCTCAAGAAACACAACACAACTTCAACAGATCTTATTGATTAAATCTGAATTCAGTAGTGACATATGAACGTACAGCCTAACCCAAATGTTTGGTCAACAACACATTGCAACAACCGTTAAGTGTGTGCCATCAAAATGTTTTCCAAGTTCCTATATTACTATTATCAAATTCACTAGCTCATGAAGATGAACACAGTATCCAACTGGTCATTTGGAATCCATCATCAAAGTCACAAATTCAGGCCACATCCATGCAATGGTTGTTGCTTCAATTTCAACACAACACATAATACAAAACTGCTCTCATTGGAAGATGACTACCCACCTATACCTAGACAGGAAACAGCATAATACATAAACACTTTAATTTTTAATGTAACAATGGTGCATCTTTCCTTTATTGCTGACAATAAGATTGTCATTCTATATAATTTTTTGGGATGACTTTCTGAATTCCGTAAGAAATAATAATAAAAAAACACACATGATTTATGTCATGCAATTGGAGACCACTTTCTCCAAGCTCAGAGAATAAAAATGTGGAAATTTAAGTGTGTTCCGAAAGTCAAAGACATATTGGAGAAGTGTCTGCATTAAAGTTAATACATCTCTTTGGTTTGTAACAAATGTACTTGCCCTTTGAAAGACTTTGGTGGATAATAAACAAGGTAGGTGGCCCACAGCTGTACCCAGTAACGCTGCCATGAGGTGACTGCTGGTTTCCTTCCCGCTTTGAGCATTGTTTTCCTACGAAGACAACCCTGCAGCACACATTGCATTCCAACAGCTTCACCAAAATCATCTGGATCTGGCAATAGTGAAGATCTGCGAAAGGAATTATTATCTCCTATGTAGAGTATGAAACAAATTTCTGTATGTGGATTCAAGAACATGTGTCAGAAATTTCAGAAGAAACAGCAGCAACTTAATACAGAATAAAAAGTACTGAAAATTCTTATATTATATAAACATAAATTAATTGTTCACATTATTGCTGTAAATTAATTTACTTGCCAGTAAAACTGAGTGTCAAAAATTAATTTCATTTTCTGTGCAACCTTGGGAAAGCTTCTATATAATCATACATGTGCTGAAGAGGCATGTGCCTATGACGTTATGTCAAAAACACAAGCACTTGAATAGTTTAAGAAGCTCAAAGAACACAGATGATGTGAATGATGATGAACAATGTGGGTGACCAAAATGTTCTGCCACTGACAATAAAGTTCAGAAAGAATTGCTTTTTAAGTGACAGAAAAATGGATGACAAATTATCAAAGTGACATCTGTGAATATGGTTCCAAATATTCTAACTGATGATAAAAAATTGAGGCATAAATAAATTTACTTAAAATTTCTTCATGTTCAAATGAACACTAATCTAATTAATGGTGACAAAACTTATGTAATTGCTATATGTTCCATAATTCAGTAAGGGAAGGTATTTACCAAAAAAAATCTCACAAAAACAGTGTTACCAGGAATTTCTTCCAAGCCATCACTTGTCTCAACAAGGAATTGCATAAGTGAAGGGAAATTAAAAGGTGACAAGAATTGATTTACCCATGTCTTGTGAGAAGCTTTTCTCCCTCTTCATCAACAGTACCCTCAACATGTTTATGTCTGCCATTGGGAGATTCTCGATTGTGATGTATCAGTTGCTGCTGCTGCTGTTCCTCTAGTACAGAATCATCCAGCAAATGTTTCTCTCCCCGCTGCAATACTGAAGTTGCCTCTCTGTATGTCACAACTTGAGGTGACTTGTTGAAAATGCTGTGACAAATATATTACTATATCTGTCTGTATAAATAAGCTGAAGATGAACTAACAGAACTGTTTATTATATTCTACCAAATGCAACAGTTGAATTTCACAATGGAAACAGGTAACAATACAATATTGATGAGCAGGGCCAACACGAGTCTGCAAGAACTTTACTTTAGTTTAAAACATATTACAATAACCAAACAGAATTTCATACCTATTATATTAAAAATCATTTCAACAAATTAAATTCAAGATATAAAGCAAAGAATAAAAGTGTTCCCTATCTTATTTAACTGAATGAACGATTAATCTCTGTATGTCTAGCACATCTGTTATGAAGTTTAAAAGAACCTGACATATCCAAAATGAATACTATGTGGCTATGGGCAACATCTTGTACACATGTTTCTTGTACCAACATACCATTATATAACAAAGCTGTAGAGATAAATCAAAGACGACTGGATTCCTGAGTAATCGGAGTCTCTTGACATAATGCTTCAAATCAGATTTTGGGAAATTTTCAGTCTCTAAATATACTGTAATATTTCTGGTGGGCAACTGCAGAATATCTCAAGTTTTCCCTTTATCTAACACAAACCCAAAGTACTAGTATGATTTTCACTTTCATTGAGATTAACTTGAGTATGCAAAGTTGGAACACTAATTCCTACAGTTCTTACTTTCAAACATAATTACTCATGCTCGCTCTTTTTTATAGTTGAACATTATACTGAATGGTATCTTCCACAAAAAATCACTGAATTCTGGGGAAAATTTCCTTGGTCTACAGTTTAACAGGACTGTAATAATCATACAGAACACAGAACTAAGACTCAGAAATGTATTGAATGGATGGACTTAGTTTTCACTTTTCAGAGAATCAAAGTTCATGTGATAAAATATATCATATAGAAGAAAAGTAACTGGTATTAACAACTTGCCTTACAAATTTTTCCAAAAGTTTTAGTTCAGTTTTATGATCCTCAAACATAAACAATGTAGATGAGTAATTTTTTTAAATACTTTTTAGCACACAGAAATCTTCTGTATATAAACAGATTCAAAATTATCCTCAGTTATTTCAGGCTCTGCTTAGATCTCTTGTGCTGCGTGGTAGACCAGAGGTGCTCACTCCACCAAATGTCAAGCTTGTACGTCAACAGAACTCTCTAAATCTGATTGTGTAATGTATACTTCTGATGTAGAAGAATCACTGTCTGACAAAATCAGAAATGTCTTCCACTACATCATCATAACTATGGAAAGCACTTTCAAATTTCATAATTAAAAAATAGCAACAACAATAACTTGAAAATAATAGGACAATACTACATAATGTGCATCACATCTGTGGCCACAACTACTTGCAAAAACTGGCCAATGAAGGTGTAACATATAGGCAGTGACAAATAAATCTAAAATAAATTCATGAGAGACTGTATTTGTCAGTAAACTACTGAATACTCATTCCATCTAGTAAAAATAAACTCAAATTATTGCTAGGAATTAAAGAAATTAGGATAATAACTGGTAGCCACGAACTGCTATGACTTAACTAATAATAATATGGTTCAAAAATATTTTCAACCCGAGTTAATTTGGGATAACAAAGAAAGTGGTCATACAGAAGGTATAGTACAAGTACAAACAAAAGTATAAAGACATTCCCACAAATAAATTGTGTTAAAACAATGGGTACTAAAAGTACTGCTTCAATCTGGACAAAAATTAACATAGTACAACAACTAAATTGACAATTATAGTCATCATGAATGAGAAAGTCAGTTATATTGACATGCAAGTTTCAAATACCATACATAATAAATGTATTGTTTACAGTCGCTCTGCAGGCAACATACGTCCAAATATTTTGAAAAAATAAATGTGTCTCTGTAAAGATGTTGGCAGGAGTAGAAGTGAAGATCCATGCATTTTTAACCTAGGCATTAGATAGAGGTGAGTGACAAGCTCCAAGCCCTGGCCACTTTACTTCCACGGTAAGGAACAAGGTACATATTCAATAGGATACTAAGTGGATCCCATAAACAGTATGGATATGGCGACAGAACAAAATTCCTGATCCTGCTGGAAATCAAACCCCACTTGTGCAACCTGCAACCTGTAACCTGTCACTTTACTGACTCAGCTATTCATATTCCTTCCAAGTGCAGTACCTATGTGAAACCCCAGAAAATCCTTATAGAGGTTCTATTATTTATATAAGAATCATAATACTGAGAAAAAAGATGCTTTCTCTTATTCCCCCCCTCACAAGTTTTATTTTTCTACCATACTAAAATCATCCTTTTATAATTATAATGAAGTTCATTCATATATGTCATCCTTACCTTACCACTATATTATTCTTACACAGCCTGAACTGAAATAGAACTTCATGTTCAACAACAAACAACTGCACCAAGAACACCAAAATCACAGGACTTCTGGTGATTTATAACAATAATTCAGAAATAGGACAGACAGCATATTAACAACAGCATGCCATAAATACACACCTACACAAGTATATAGCTGAATATGCCATGCAACAGCTGGCAAATGTCATGGATGTTCATGCTGCAATGAAAACAGAATGCAACATTTGTGGAAAACCAACTAAGGGACTCACCCAATGGGTACCCATCCAGGTTGATGGTAATACCCTTGCTGATGATGACCTTGTTTATGGAAGTTTCGAGGAAGACTTGTACTACGAAATCTGGGAAACAAATCACACATGTAACCACACCACACATGCCTGGCTGTTAGTGTGACACAGAACAGAAGCAAATAACCTCAGACTGCAACCACAAAAATTCTGCCACTAATTTTGTTAGCGCATCTTCCTACATTGTGAGTTACATGGTTTGGTTTGGTTTGGTTAGGTCAGGTCAGGTCAGGTCAGATTACATCAGGTAAGGTCAGGTGAGATGAGGTTAGTTTAGTTTTTGTTAGATGAAGTTAGGTTATGTTATATTAGGTGAAGTTGGGTTAGGTAAGTAAGTTAGGTTTTCTTAGGTTGATCAGATCAGGAGAGGTCAGACCAGGTCTGCTTAGGAGAACTTGAGTTAGGTTATGACAGAGATTAGGTTATGTTATGTTAGGTTTGGTTATACATAATGCATTCTGCTGTAAAATGTTATTTGTGCAATCCAGTGTGCATCATCACAGTTGGGAGAGTTGAATATAGGGGGAAGGATAATATTAAAGTTCATCTTAAATAAATATTATCAAGTATGGACTATATACATCCAGCTTTGAGAACATGTGAATAAGGTAATTAACCTTCGGGTTCCACAAGAGGAAGGGAATTTCTTGATCAACTGTGTGAATGTTAGGGTCTCAAGAAGGACTCTACATCATAGTGTTTGTTTGCTATTATAATTGTTCCAAAAGGGGCAGACTGGTAACAAGTTCTACTTGTGTGGAATTATTAAATCATAACTACACCTGGCTTAAATACTATTATTTAACATTTATTTAATGATGCTGTCAATAACTCAGATTATACAATGTCAAATGACAGGATGATTAATGAATTGGAAAGGATATCGAAAGAAGCAGTCGTGGCAAATTTAAAGTGTGACCTAACACTTGTCTGGAAGTGCTCTGGAAAACCACATAAGGCCTCAATGAGGATAGTTTGTCTCTGGGCAAAACTTTAAACCTGAAACTTCCTAAATATGAAGGAGAGACAACCACTCAACTGTGACATCTGATACATGGTTTAAAGTTTTAATAATACAAATATACACAATGTTAAACTTGAATGAATATGGCAAATCAAATATAGGAAGAAATGTGTTGGAAGAATGGTATCACCTAATCACAAGCAACACAGACCAAAATTAAACTTGACAGCATAATCAAACATTAAATGGTTGAGTTCACAGATATGCCAAATGACCATTGCAACTTTGCAATTATTAATTACCCAACTGTATGACAAAGTAATGTGAGTAAGGTAATGCTATTATAACAGAACAGAACTGAAGAAGCAAACAACAGAAAGCAGGATTAGTGTTTTAGTACAAGTACTACAAAGTGGTACAAACTATGTAACTTCAAAAACAGCAAGGCACTCACTTGGTTCCTAAGCTACGGCACTTTCTATGTGTTGGCACAAACTTAGCAGCTCCTGCTGCTGTTGCCTGGAGCCGAAGGGAACCTGAGGACAGACCCTTAGCAGGAGAGAGGTTCAATGAGGCTACTGATGTCATTGTTTCACTCACTGATTCTTTTGAGCTGGAAGAACTTGGACCAGGTGAAGGGGGTTCCAGCTTCAAAGATAGTCTGAAGGGCACATCAGAAAACAATCAGTGAGAGGCACTGCCAACTTTATTTCTGCTAAGTGCATATTACATTCCAAGACATCCAAAACCAATTCATGTATACATATACACACAATAAGTCAGTCTACTTTCCTCATTCTATACATACAAGGTGCTTAACTTGTATGTATATTTAATTTCTGTGTATGTGTGTGTTTTGTGTGGGATCCTTCAATAACTTCTGAAACACTTTTTATGTTCTAGTATTTTCTCCTAATCTCTTCAAGACTGTGAAATTTCTCTCTTGCATTACCCTTGTATAGTTTATACTGCTTGTTATTTTGCAAGTACCCTTACGCAGTACTATAGCATAATAATCATGGTTTTATTATGTTTTATTTAATATACAGTATAGGTAAGTCATTTAATTTGTGTGTAACAAATGTACTTATCTAGGTATAAATAAAAGACTTCATTAGACCAGGTTTACATATCCCCAATTAACCCAAAAGGTATTATACACATGCTATCTTTGCAAATTCTGAATGCTACTAGCTGAAATAAAAAAACATACATCATATATATATATATATATACACTATGCAAGTGTTAACATCAGTATCAGTGTCAGTGCCACAGGTTCATTCATCTGCCATATTGGTATTACCAAGAGTAGGAAATGAAAACATGATTTCAGGGTAGAGCCCAAAGACAGAACACCCACACGAAATTTCATACAAATCTGTCTGGAAGTTCTCAAGTTACATCATGTGGACAGACAAGAAGATATGGTCAGCCCTATATGCATTCACTTCATCCGAATGGTGCAAAGAACACATAATAATGGAGGTATAAAAGTTTCCAATAATATAATTTACACAACACTGCAACATAAACTGGAAATATATACTGGATTAATAACCTTAGTTATGATACTAGACCCACTACAAATGTCAACCCAGAAAAAATTAGTGCTTAGGAAGATCTCCAAAGAACAGAAAGATTCTGTTTTGTAAAATCCAAAATCCACAACTGCCCTGTTGCTTGGAAATACTTACTTGTACTGGTCATCTTCAACAAACTTCTGAAGTTCTTCAATATATCTCACATTACGCAGATAATTTTGTATGTGAGGCAAGTGAACAAGATGGGAGTAATCAGACTGCTGATAATCTGAGATCACCCGCAAAATGTTGTTCATTTTGAGCCGCCGCTGCTCTGACTCAAGCCCTCCTGAATGTGGGTGTGCCATGTCAATGTATGTGAGATCTGTCAGGAACAAACCTGTACATACAAGCCAAAGTCAAGGTACAACAAAGAATACGATGCAAGGATGACTATTCACAGTGAATTAAAAAGGACTGAAAAGGCAATGGTCTAGGTATATTTCATGGTACTCTCAGCATTTTCCTAAAATGACTGTGTAAAACCAGCAATTGCTGGTGCCCCACATAAAGTTTATCTGACAAGCAAGCATGACATGCACATAGAACAGTTCAAAACTATCCCATAGAGTAATAACAGAATTCTGTGGACTCAAATTCTTGGGTTGCATTACTCCTACACTATAGTGAAAATGTCCGATCACTAGATGACTTACATGGCAAACTTCCATTTATGCATGATAAGTGTCTCGTTCATAAATGGCATCAGGAGTAACACCAGCATAAGTCATAAAATGCACATAATAAATATGTTATAATTTTATAACCCTCCAAAAATTAAAACCTCTCGAATCATTTAAATCTGATAACAACACGAAGTTTCATCATGTATCATTGCACAGAGATTAAAATATATACATATATATGCATATACAAATAGGAGATCCAAAATGAATTATTTCTAACAATATAAAATATGTAAATCTGTGGGAGGGGGGTGTTTTTTACTACTACTACTACTACTACAAATGTTACATACCTAAATATGGGATACAAGGCAGCTTGAGACTCTCCATAAGATCACGGAGATTGTGCCAGTTATTTCTGTCAGAGAACACTTCAGCCAGTCTATCAAATGTTTGCTTTTCCTTCTTTGATAAACATGCCCATGTTTTACTCAACCTAAGTAACATAAACATGTAAGTGTTATGTTGACAGAACATAAACCTGTAACCTGTACTGCCAAAATAAATATGGAAATAGTCATATATCAACACTCACCTGTACACAGACACACTTTGTAATGCAGAAATTATTGCAAAAAGAGAATGCAAATTGTTTAAATCATAGAGCTTCTTTGCAATTCGAATGAAGTGGCCCAATGTTTCTGCTCGTTGCTTAGCTGATGGGCCATTTAAAATCTCTTGTACAGTCCAGAAACTAACCTGAAAACATTGATTTCATACTCAATCATACTGAACAAAGTCCAATCCAACAAGTACATGTAATTAAAAATTTCTATAAATTATGTACTGCTTACACCAACAAAGTCATGTTATATGTAGGCCCATAACTATTTGAGAATCTTGCAAGTTTTAACAACTCCAGTCTTATGAGGCTGCTGGAGCCTACAGAAAGTATAGATCAATTCACTCCAATGCGGTACTAACATTTATGTTAATGAATCAATAGTAAACCCTTAAGTTACAGCAAAGTGTGCACTGTATTTCTGCCTTACATTTCTAATGTACCTTCAAACATTGAACTGCAGTGGTAATTATCTCTGTTGCCATGTTCCTTTCTCTTTCTAAGGTCCAAATATTCTCCTCTGCACCTTTTCATCAATCTATATTCTTAATTTAGAGAGCTACTTACATGATTAAACCTGCGTGTGAATGCAACAACATTGGGAGCAACAGTCAGCTTATGCTTTTTGTTCCAGCCACAGCTCACCAGCTCTTCAGGTGTGATTCCTCTGAACGCTGGCATATCAAGCAATGTCAACTGACTTGCAAAATCCTCTGGAGCTACTCTCAGAGGATCAAAAACAACTGAATCATAACTCTTGATTGAAGTGTTACTTGGGAGGCTTTGTGACTTGGCATGAGGTGCTGCACAGTGTGGAAGAGAGCTGAAATAACAGTAGACAGTTTCACTATCAAATGGCGGTTCACAGGAATGCAACTTCCACATATAACAAGAGTCACCTCAAGATGATAACACAGTTTACTGAAATTTAGTTTCTAAGGTTAACATTTAATTTCTTGTTCTGTATTATGAAATAATTTTGATTGAAAGTAAAAATATTTATTCCTGGCACAAGTGCAGGAAGAATAACCTCTTACCCATAATTATCATAGCATGGTGGGTTTACAACTTGTTTCCTGACAGGATGATGTGAAATTCTCTTGCTTATGTCCCCAGTTGACAGTGCTGTAGGGTCCTTTGGTCTAATGTAAGACTTATGATGTCTGCTGTCTGTTCCTGTAGTTTCTTTCTTCTTTAGGAGGGGAAAGTCATTTCCATTGAATGCAGGGACCAAAGTTTCAACATCACTAAGAGGTGATTTGTCCAGGCACCTTCCACCATCACTGTCTTCATGATTCTTTATCAATGAATGCAATTAATTAATGAACAGTATCATTAAAACAATGAGAACTGTCTCATATTATGATTCATGATCATTTTCTTCAACTTGACCTGTGTGGCAGGCCACCCCATCACATTCATTTTGTAGACTACACCCCTTATTTCATCTTATGCAGGCTTTATTAAAAGAATAATAATTAATGTTGTTCTGGACAAGATTTAGACTGAAGTTAAAAACCATATCATTAGAAAGCTATATACCACTAATGAAATTACACAAATTTGTATAGTCCATTCCAGTACATGCTGCATTCACCATCTGAGGCTGACATGAGTGTTTCACACAATGAGAGAGAACAAAAATGTATTAATAACCCTGGAAAATAAACCAACAATATGTCAAAGTAGTTTGTAAGGTTATCTTCTGTACCTGCAACATGGACTTTATAGTAATGGGCCAAAAATATGGGCCTTTTGCTTGTGGTCCAACACCTCATACAGGAGGCTAATTTGATCATCATGGGCCAAATGAATTCAGTTCACACCCTCACATCTATAGTGAACTGGAACTCACCTCAACAATACGCAGCGTAGACAAACTGTCACAAGATACATCACGAGGCATCTCAGAGTACCGCATCTTGGCCATGGGCTCTGCCAGCACATCACAGTCGCAGCTTCCTCCTTTCTCTCACATCATCTTTCCTACAGACAAGTTGAGAAAAAAATAAACAGTTTTCAGTCTAAGTTTAACTATTTGTAACAGTTTCAGGCTGAGAGGTGAAGAACAGTAATAGATCTATCTCAACTGTTACTCTTATCACGATAATGTGAGAAAGATAAATGTATCTCTATAAACAACGTTCCAATAATTGTTTATCGATATTCAGATGAAATCTACATGACAGAGAACCAAGAAATATGGAAATTCCACTTATTTAAATATATGGAAATAAAATAAAGTCTTTCATATTCACATCAATATAAAATATAAGTCTTACAACCTGGGGAGCATCATCATCTCCAACCACAGGTCATTCTGTACCAACATGGCTGATTTCCTTAGAAGAATGCACACACATTCAATCACCACTCTCCCACTCTGCCAATCAGATGTCATATTCCACTTGCCATGTACTGTCGTCCATATAACAGACATCAAAAATGCCCAACCAACATGTATTCACCCCGAAGATGGCAACTGTAATGCTTGCCGAAACGTTGGATAACTTCCAACATTTGACGCGGCTCATCCCCGAAAGTCAAGCGTTCCCCCAACTTCGGACACCGCAAAGTTTCAGTTCAGCTCTGTACATACTAGCAACTCAGCTTCACAGTTCTAATTCTTGGCAATGCAGACAGATGGACAGCCCTAGTAGGTATGTTGGTTCTGGAGTCCTAACTCAATTTCTATTTTCAGAATGTTCTGGTTCAATTAAACGCTAAAACGAAATCCTCTAATGCGCTGTAAGTAGGTACTAGAACACGGGCGATTAACAACAGCACCGACTGACATATGTGCAATACATCCGAGTGATGCATGTGTATTTATGTACCAGCCAGATGAATGCATCATTCAGTGCCCCATACGTAAGTTACACTCCAATTTAATGGGAGTTAAAGTAAATGAGCGGAATACACGGATGAAGTTGATTTATTATAAATTATGTGTTCTCAATCTCGCGGCAAACGCCTTGTTACAATTAAATACAAACGTAATTCTTTTGCAATATATTTACAAGGCAATATTGAGCTGTAAGGTAAGCCTTATATAATTTCGCTTAATGTATTCGGGAACTCTAGTACACATGTGGCAATGAAGTAACTGACGACTCCTTTGGTTATGTAACGCCCGTGTATCCAAATTTCTTCGTGAATGCAAAATGCCCTTGTAATACTAGTAATTGTAACTGCAGAGAAAAAATTGACAGTGGAACCACGGTTCCGGAGACTTTGACGTAAATACGTCTATACGGAAAGGAAGTTTATATATTGGCTTTATTCTAAATATTTCCTTTATACATGCTTTACAATTGAGTAAAGTTTGATTAAGACATTGCTTATTCAACTTCAATTAGTTACGCTTAAGATGGGTCTGTGGTAGATGAATGTAATGTAATGTAATGTAATGTAATGTAATGTAATGTAATGTAATGTAATGTAATGTAATGTAATGTAATGTAATGTAATGTAATGTAATGTAATGTAATGTAATGTAATGTAATGTAATGTAATGTAATGTAATGTAATGTAATGTAATGTAATGTAATGTAATGTAATGTAATGTAATGTAATGTAATGTAATGTAATGTAATGTAATGTAATGTAATGTAATGTAATGTAATGTAATGTAATGTAATGTAATGAAATGAAATGTAAGGTAATGTAATGAAATGTGATGTAACGTTTCCTAGGTAACAAAAATACCAAGTAATGTAATGTATCGTAATGTAACGTTTCCTAGGTAACAACAATGCCGAGTAAACAATGACATTTCCTAGGTAACCATCTTACACTTTTTCGTTACACTTTTTGCGGAATGACATTGACCCTTCCATATAGACGTATTTACGTCAAAAAATAGACTCAAAAATAAATACGTAAAAAAGGAATTAAGTCTCCTAAATATTATGTAACGGTAGTGACAAATGTTCAGCCGGAAGATTACAGCAGCCATTCCAAACGTGTCTCACAAAAGTAATATTTTATTCTTCTTGTGTGACTTACATTATTTACACGTGTCACGAAAATGTGGTGTTCAGGCCGCATGTGCGACGACTTAGAAATTGTTGGAAACCTTTGTTTACAGATACAGCGAGGCTCAAAATGTTTCTACCAAGTTTAAATTCAATTCCCTCCGCAACATGTAATCATAATTTGAAGAAACTTTGCTAACAGACTGTAGTACTCGAGCCATTTGTTTTCGTTTGAATTTGTAGCCACAAAAACAAATGGTGGCCTATAGTGCCGAGCCACTGACCATCTGAAAGCCCACAAAAGTTCAGATGAGCGTTCCAGGTAAAATTTGGGGCCAAAGTTGGACCAGACAGGCATACAATTTCAATTCTCGACCAGAAATTTCACAAGACAGAATCCAAAGCGTTGTGTCAAACTTTGGGATGAGATTGTAAAAGATCGTCGAAGCTGATGACAAACACGTTGAACACATCCCGAAATAAATAGCTTAAGTTGATGACCTGAATGAGATTTTTATACCCCATCGTTCAGGTTAAATAAATCATTAAACATGGTACACAGATACATTTTGGGTCCTTTGTATATGCAGCTTCACTGATAAACACTAGCGCCTGCCAACTTGTGATTCGAGCACACGCAATACATCAGAACTCTGTTCCCACTTCTCAAAGCCCGAAGATTCTCTCTTCAACTGTTTCCTAACAGACAATACCTTACCGGATTCTGCTTTCTTCGGAACGGTTGAAAATTCTACTAAGTAATTTCACAGAGAATTCCAGTATTCAGCGTACAAGACACAGCAACAGACATTTGTTTACTGCTGTAGGCATTTGACACTACCGTAATTCGTAAGTTATATTCGTATAAGAACTCAAGGAAAACTGTGTCGTCCGTTATGGGAAAAAAGCAACTGGTCTTTCACGATCTTTACAGGAAAGCCACGATATTTGGAGCTCTCCGACTGTCCCTTGTCAGTTAGGTACAAAAGAATGGGTAAATCATGAATTTGGTGGCAATTGTATGGAAAAGAGCTGGTGACGACGTAAGAAGTGAATCTATAGTAAAACAACTGAGAAGATAAATATGACCTTCCAGTAATATGAAATGATGGAAGAATGTAATGAGCAATGTTTGCATTCGCATGGACCGACTTAAACCAGACGAAGGACCCGAATGAGTTCAAAATGCGAGCAACAAATTAAACAATTCAAAAGGTCGCTTATGAAGGTGACACAATCTATTACTATGTGACTATATCTTATCCAAAATAATATTCACGTACGAAGCTTCAGTTCTAAGAATTCCGGCTCTTTTTATCTGACCCGTCGAACGAGAAAGGTTCCTGACTCCTGGCCTAATAAAATGTGTTTGCAAGAAAGATGAACAACCAACGGATAACAGATTGAATTGTTAAATGTTTTAGAGCATGAAAGTTCAATCACATTTTGTACACTCCATGCAGAATGTAACATTGGTAAAGTTTGCTGACCTGAAACGCTCAATAGTTTCCTCACTGTGGTCGCAAGTCAGCTGTCGTAGCTACATAGTATTTGCCAGAAGTTGATATGAATGGCAGAGGAGTGAACGATAAGATAAGCACGGACAGACAGGTAATTCAGACCATTCTTCTGCTGTCTCCATGAGAACTATAAAATAATTCCTTCTGTGAGCTACTCATCACCCTGATGAAGGATGCAGAAAACACTTCTCAAAAGTCAATAAACTGCTTCCAGACTACAACGGCGCAACAAACCAGAAGACAGTCATCTTCCTTCATATACGCCACCGTGAGAACCTTAAGCTCACACTGTACCACCTCTTTATGCGAAAGTAGTCATAATTAAGAACAATGACCTAGTGATCATCTACACAGTGCCTTATGATGTCCGACTGTATACCCACAATAAGTGCCCTTATAAATTCTCGTTTCCCAGACATCATTAATAGAAGCAAAGTTAAACCCGTACATTGTCCTGTTTATCAGCAAATACGATTATTTATATCTAGCGCCTTTCAACGAAAGTTGCGTCATACACTGACGTTGTTCTCTGCCGCTTTCAAAGTGAGGCTAAACGGAAATTAACACCCAATTTCATTAAGCCCGCAGTCTGAACATCTGATAACAGTTTCGGTAAACGATTACTTCCGTTGCAGTGTGAGAAACATCATCACAAAACTTATACAAATCAGACGCATTTAACAAAGAATGCAAAAGTGTACTTCAATCTGCGGGTGGCAATTTCGAAATTCATTCATTCTTCGGAATTCTGAATCCGTCACTGACTTTTATATTTCAATTTCCGATATATGAGATCTGAGGTTCTCATGGTAATAAAGATGTCGACTGTGGTCTTCTATATGTAGAATTCACACAGACTGCTCTTTTACTTTCGTTTAAAAGCAAGAGCGCAGGGTAAAACAAAAATTTCCACTGCAGGGAAACACAGACGCCTGTATACAAAGTAGTCAACAACTATATATAAAAGACGAAAAAATTGGACTTTGTTATGAAGGGAAATACAAGTATGCGTTTAGCCTTGTCCAATAGCCAACTGTAATCCCAGGTAGTCACAATGGCATCCACGACTTCCTACGTAAACACTGACTCACAACAGTTTTGGCTTTAGCTGTTCTATTTCCATTGTATGCACTGTAATACGATATTCTTTGTAACAAGTGGGTTCACTTTTGAAACTGAACGTAGCATAGCAACTGTTCCACTCATTTAACGAAGCCCGTGTTCCTCACAAACAGTAACTTCGTTTGATGGGTCAAACGAGTCCTAAATTTCGCGTCTAGCAATAGTCTACTGCGTGATCGGCATATATAGAGAAGTTCCTCCTAACGAATTATACTAAACTATTCATTTAACTCAGCCTTCCTAGGAACAAGCAAGTTCTTGGGCACTGAGCTTTAAAACCTTTGTGTATGTTCTCTCAAAACAAACTTCCACGCTCATGCAAAATAACTGGCAAATTAATGTTTTATACAGGCCCTGCCCTGGTCGT